AAAAAAAAAAGTAAAACAGTGCTTCGTCAAAGTACGTATTCAAATACTGATTGACTCTTGGCTTCAAAATTTTGCTTGGTTAGACCTTAAATTTTACTCCCTGGACATTTTTTTTAATCCCCTATTAGATTCATTTTAAATAGACCACTATAGAATTTAATAGTTTTGAGGTTGAGATTAGCAGGACATTAATTAACTGCCAAAACCAGTACAAACCAGGGTAGTTCAGCCCTTCCTTCCATGTTACTGTAAACTTCCAAGTGATGCAACAGCCTTTTCTCTTTTGCAGGTTGGATCAGGTGGTAATTCATGTAGGAGCCCTGAGCTTGAAAGATTCACAAGAACTGGTAGGTATGTAGGTCCATCTGGGAGAGACCACTCAAGGGACCTCCTTTTCCTTTTATTATTAGAGCATGGTTGATATATACAATGTTATATTCATTTTAGGTGTACGACATGGTGAATCGATAATTCTGTGCATTACTCAGTGCCCACCAGGATAAGTGTAATCTCCATCTGTCACCATACAATGTTATTACAATATTATTGACTACATTCCCTATGCTATACCTTTCATCTCTGTGACTTGTTTATTTTATAACTAAAAGTTTGTACCTCTTAATCCCCTTCACCTATTTTGCCCTCCCTCCAATGGCAACTACCAGTTTGTTCTCTGAGTCTGTTTCTGGTTTTTTGTTTATTTGTTCATTTGTTTTGGTTTTTTTTTAGATTCCACATAAGGGAAGGAGCTCCTTTTTTATGCTGAAGTTAAACTCAATACCATTTTTGCTGTATATTGGGTGCTATCACTGGGGAATATGAGGTGTGGGACCTCAGAGCTCACCATCCAGAAGCAGGCACGGAGCCATAATGAGAGTAGCCCGAGGTGATAACTTCTGTAGCAGAGTTTTGAGTAGGAGACAGAGGCCCGTCTTCCTCCGAGGGGTGGGTATAGAGGTAGCTCAGTTTGCAAGTAGGGAGAAGAACTTGAGCCAACCTCAGTTTCTCTAAGAAGCAAAAGGCAAAGCCATCTGCTGGGCATGAAGGAGATGGAAGATGGGGTTCAGAGATGAAGAGCAGTAAAAATTGAGAATCACTGCCCAGGAAAATGGGAGGGAAAACTGAAGCACAGGAAGATTGTCCCCACCCATGTTCTTATCAGCATTATTTACAATAGAAAGAGGTGAAAGCAACCCAAATGCCCATCAGTGGATAAATAGATAAACAAAATATGGTATATACGTACTATTAAAGGACAAAAATACAAATGAGTAATTTAAAAGATCAAATTGGCTTTATTGAATGAATCCAGCAGCATCCAATCTAGCAAATAGAAAGGAGCTCTATCGAGCTGTGGAAAAGGAAAGGTAAAAGACAGAGAGGGAGCAAGAAAAAGGAAATTATTAGCAAAGAACACATTGTTTTAAGCAAGGTCGCCCTCCTAAGGGCAATGGTAGGGGCCTGACAGTAAATTTTCTAGGGCTGACCAGGAAATTCCACGTTGACAGTTTAAAGGTTACATTCCTGGGAGGATTGAAACTGAAGTCAGGTTAGGTATTAAGTCTTGGTTTGCTGACATGGATCCTTAATATAAGTACTCCATTTGGGTCCTGTGGTTTTCTTTTTAACAATACAATGGAATATTATTCAGCCTTAAAAAGGAAGGGAATCCATCCTGTCACCTGCTATAATATAGGTGAAACTCTTTAAGGACATTATATTAAATAAAATAAGCCAGTCACTAAAAGACAAATACTATATGATTCCTCTGAAATGAGGTATCTAAAGTAGTCAAATTCGTAAAAACAGGAAGTAGAATGGTAGTTGCCACGGGCTAGAGGCAGAGAGGAAGAATTATTTAATGGGTATAGAGTTCCAGATTTGCAAGATGAAAAGTTCTAGAGATCTGTTTTTTAACAATGTGAATATACTTAAAACTACTGAACTGTACACTTAAAAATGATTAAGGTGGTAAATTTTATGTGGTTTCGTCACAATTTAAAAAAATTTTTTTTTCAAAGTAAGCTCTACGCCCAACATGGGTTTTGAACTCATGGCCCTGACATCAAGAGTCACATGCTCTACCGAGCCAGCCAGCCACCCCTAATTAGTTAATTTTTTAAAAAGGATTGCCCAATGGTGCTAAAAAACCAACTGAAGTTGTAAGTCATAAATCTGTCTTACCACCATTCAACTAAGTTATGAAAATTTCTTTCTAGGTATAGTCTTCAACCAGGACATAGGTTCAAGGACACGAATTAGGTTCAAGAACCTAATTGGATTGCTCCAGGTTTAGAGATTAGCAGATTAGGTAGAGCAAAGGCCAGGAATGGAAGGAGTTAAAGTTTCTGGCAGAAAAGTACATGACCTGGTGGTTTTGAGGACTTTGTGATTTGGGTAAAAAACGAAAGCTCGAAAGTGTTGAGGTATTTACCAGCAGGCCCAGAACCTGGACCACTACTAAATTAACCATGTTTTCAGAATTTATATATTCTGATTTCCAAGATTACAATGACTTGATCTAGCCCCAACATCTTCTTGATGGGTTTTGTTTTTCCTATTACTGAATTTAGAAATGGGATATATATATATTTGCAAAATTGCAATTCAGTACTCCTAGGTAAGCCACAAGGGAAGGCATATTGCTAAGTGGTTGCTTAATAAGCCTAGAATCAGAACGTGGAGACTTGATTTATTCTTCTTATGCGTCATTTGTTCTTCTTTCAGTAGGCCTTTCGATTAAGGTAGTGTGATGTAGGAAATTTGTTTTCATCTCTTTTTTTTTAAAAAGATTTTATTTATTTGACACAGAGAGAGCGAGAGCAGGAACACAAGCAGGGGGAGTGGGAGAGGGAGAAGCAGGCCTCCCGCTGAGCAGGAAGCCCGACGCGGGGCTCGATCCCAGGACCCTGGGATCATGACCTGAGCCGAAGGCAGACGCTCAATGACTGAGCCACCCAGGCGCCCCTGTTTTCATCTCTTTTTAATTGCTTTCTTTTCCTATGTGTGATATAAATTTTAAAATATCGTCATGACGTGAAAGGTTGTCATCCATTGAGCTGAACACTAGAATAGTGTAGAGATAATCTTAGGACAGAGATAATCCCCTTCTATAGGGATAATCCCCTACTGTGGGGATAATCTTGCCAATGAGACTGTAATTTGGCATCTGCTTAGCCATAACTCCATTGGATGATGTTTGGGCACTGCCATCAACTGTCTCTTAGCTGTTTCCTTTTTTCTTATTTTCAGCTAAGGTTATCCTTCTACTCTTGTCCTAATGGAGTGCTAAACAAATGATTCAAATATATTATATGCAACCGGTGGCCAGTGATTTAATCAACCATGCCTATGTAGTGAGGCCTCCATTAAAACCCAAAAGGGCAGGTTTCAGAGAGCTCCCAGGTTGGTGAACATGTGGAGATTTGGGGAGAGTGGAACACATGGAAACTACAAGCCCTATCTCCATACCTTGCCTTAGGCATCTCTTCCATCTGGCTGTTCCTGAGGTAATATCTTCTTATACTAAACTGGTGGCCTAGTAAGTAAGATGTTCCTCCGAGTTCTGTGAGCCAGTCTAGCAAATTAAGTGACCCAAGGAGGGGATTATGAGAACCTCCAACTCTGTAGCCAGTCGGTCAGGAACACAGGTGATGACCTAGGCTTGTGACTAGCATCTAAAGTTCAGGGAAGCGGGGTAGTCTTGTCGGATGGAGCCCTGAACCTGTGCAATCTGACTGTCTCCAGGTAGACAGTATCAGAGTTGAATAGAATTGCAGGACACACAGCTGGTATCAGAGAATTGCCTGTTGATGTGGGGAAACCACCCCCCAACCCACAGACATCTAAATTGTCACCAAACCCAATGGTCTTCTTTCTTCTTTTAAAGGCCCGACACGCAGCAGAAATAGGAGCTGATGGCATCGCTGTCATTGCACCTTTCTTTCTCAAGCCAAGGAACAAAGGTAAGCAAATAGTCTAAATACACAGTGCCTCGTGTGGTCCACTTCTTTTTGCCTTCATTGAAAATGGTCATGCTGACCTCCTGAAAGTAAAGTTGTATGGACTTCTGTGGGCGTGAAGTTGCAGCGGTACAGTAGCTGTCCAGAATATTTGGTCTCCCTGGATCCATACAAGAAAAGACTCCTTTAAGAAGGGCTTCAGCTCTTTTGCCAAGTAATCTGATTGGGTCATCCACCAAGCCCCAGGTCAACATACAGGTACCTGTGTTGGGTCAGGCGTCCACCCCTAATCTAGTCAGTTGTGTAGGAAGTCAGAGTTACATGGCAAAGCATGGGATCATTTTTCTCAAAAAAAGAGGAATATAAGTGGTGGGCATCTTGAGACATGTTCTATTCAAGGTTGAGTCAGTAATGAATTTGAGGGAGATTTCAGAGAAAGATCCATGGTCTTCCAAATTACCAAGTTAATTGCTTTCTCCTTCTCTGCTTTCTCTACGGAAACTTTTGTGGTTTCCAAGTATACTGAGTCTTTTTAATCCTTCTGATTAGCAAACGAAGGAATACAGATTTTGAAAGGATTGAAAACAGACAATCCATGATTGCATGCATGATTAAATAAATTCATAGCTAAATGTAATTGGGTCAAAATTATCATGAAATACCATCGATTATTGGTAGAGAGAAAATAATTGTCAATATAGGATAAGTAATTTAAATACTGCCATCTTGGGAATTGAGAATGAACATTTTAAAAGTTTTTTCACATGGTTATAAAAATTTTACGTGAATACGTTTCCCAAAAAGACAGACAAAGGAAAGATAATGAGTTATTCATAATATTCTTGTCAAATATTTATCACAGAGTACATCATCACAGTATTCAGATGAAGTATTTTCTCCCCCACTCTCCAGTGTAAGCAAGTCTGCTGGATTTATTTATCCTCTGCAGTAATGTCGCAGTGAAAGCTCACGGAGGATGATGTAGGAAATTGCAAATCCTCAGTAAACTAGAATGAATTCTCTTCTGCTATATCTGGATTTCTCCCCAAATGGGAAAAGTGCCAACCTCTGGTTGAATTATTGTGAGGTGTGCCACTATTCTTCTAACTTCCCTCTTTGAGCAAATGTTTATCTTTTTGTTGTAGAATTTTCTCAGTTACAACTTGATGATTCTGATCCTAATGCAAATTCCTTGTTCACTGACCACATTTAGCCCTTTTGGGGTAAGAGCACAGGAGTCCAACCGACGGGCTTCTGGCTTTGATAAGAGTATTTCAAGAGCTTCTCTTAATATGTGGGAAGGTTTGCACCAGTTTTGTTTTTTTG